GAGGGCATACGGAGGTCTCAAGGTGATATTCGTAGGGATACATATGAAGGAGTATACCCTCATTCCCTGATCTTTGCGAGCTCCGACAGTGTCTGTCATGCTCTGAGATCGATGCTTCATTTTATCGGAATCGGGAAGATGAATGGAGTGAGAGAGCACGACAGATTATTTTCCAGGAGGAATTCGTTCCACGAAAAAACCTCGGTCTCGAGGAACTAGACTTCGAGTGATTCACGGAATCGTGACGGTCGGCTCGGATTATAAGAGGGGAATATTTGGGGCAAGCATGGTATTCGGCGGACCAATAAATAATCCAAACACGTAGTCCTCCGCCGTCCACTCTAACTTTTGGGATTTTTGGAGCTTCACTCGTCTGTCAGCTCGCAAGCTTTCCTCTCGTCTTGCGTCAGTTGACAGACTGTCGGAATCTCAATTTTTCTCCCGAATCGGAGAACATTATGGAACGACGGAGAGCGATAAGAAGAGAAAAGACGTTTCACTGCGCTCGAGCGATTAGTTGTGCCGACGGATCTGTGTTACAGATAGGAACAATTGGGCTCCGAACCTCTCTGTGGAAGTCTGCAAGGGAGATTTAACGAGCGTCGGAAAGTTTAGGGAGTCGCCAAAAGCAAATGGGCTCTGGGCAACGAGGCCACTGACCAGCAGAGAGGGAGGCTGGCATGCGAGAGAAAAACAAGCGATCAGCGAACAAGACCTCCGCTGGATCGGTCTGCGATCGTTCTGCAATACTCAGACTTTCCGGCGTGCACAGCAAGAGATGAATATTGTGAAAAATGATTTCAATCGCCTCCACACAGCTGGTGCGAGCGGGGCTCGAAAACGAGCTCAAAGCAAGCGCAGAAAAGCAGGACATACTCATTATGAATTGAGCAGGAAATATCATTTCGAGGTTACACGGTCATCTCCTATGAGTCAGAGGCTCTGACCCAAGAGGGGGCAACCAGAGGTATGTCGAGTCTCAAGGTCAATTGTGGGTTTTCCCTTCCAACTTTCCACTTTTCTAAATAAATGCCTCCCAGCTGAGCTAAGGCCGGTAGGGTGGCCGGAAAAGGGACCGGAAAGCCTAGGAAAAAGCGTGAAGACTCTATTTCATTCTGTGGCTCACCCATCCCAGCGAATCTTGATCCTCTTGTCGCACTTTCATGAAACCTCCCCCGAGAATAGTCCCGACAATAATATTCAGTCCGTACGATGCTCAAATCCTTGCTCTCACCACGGTGGAACTTGACCGATGTCGCGCCGAGGATCCTCCAAATAGAATCCTTGATAAAATTCAAAAGCGCTGAGACTCAAAGAAGTCAGCTTTGAGAAGCTTCATCATATCGTGACGTCATACCCTCGAGAATGAGATGAAGTCAATCGCAGTCCGACTCTCATTGTGGGTTTTCATTCAGATGGTAATGTATACAAACCCTCCTCATTTGTTTACGATCCCTCGAAACTTTCCGACTCTGTCGGAACTATGTGATTCCTTACTTTTCGGCAGTCGTCGGGCCTTGGGAACTCCTCCAGAGTCCCCTTCCCTCCTGCGCCTTTTGTTCACACCACTCCAAAACAACTGGGGGTGCGTTGACATTGCTGGCATTCACATGGATAAGATGTCTTTCCTCAGCTCCACCAATTTGCATCCGAAGCTGACGCTACGCATGTCGAGGAAATAAGAGGAGACTTCTGGTCTACCTACTCTGTACACCGCATTCCAAGTCATCGCGGAAGCGTCCACTTTCGAGAACACTTCTGATGCCCCGACATAGCTGAGGAGCGCGACTCACCAGCAGCAAGTTGAGCCCGAACGGCTAGAGAGCTCGGAGTGCCGGATCTGATGCGTCAGAATATTCTTCGACCTTGACGAAAAGAACCGATGTCTCGGGCTCCGACAGAAATCTGAAAGTTCCTCCGGATCCCCTTCGAAATCTGCGCTTGGCCGTGCAGAAGCAGAGAAGCTCGTTTCCTCGAGTTCATTCGGCTCGCCAAACACGAGATCGGAGGTTCGAATCGCTTGAGGTCCTGTCTTCTACGTTCATATGCTCAGATAGAACGTTCAGAATGAGCGTAATCTGCCAGCTGAGATCCCTCATACCCCACGGTGGACCCCGCGGAATGCGGGAATGGGCTGGTGAGTTTCTTGGCCTTCATCGCATGGAGTCGCGCCTGTGTACTGTGTATGCTAATTCAGGCCGTGGGCGTCCCTCCGAATTGAGTGTTTGATACTCTGGAGCGAGGGTCAATTAGGACACATCGAAGTGTCGTCTTTCCAAGCCATTGCAGCGCCTATCTCGTGCGTACATGCGTGGGGGTAGTCGTTCGACGAACAAGTCGGTACCTTCGGATTCACGTTCTAAATTAATTCGCAGATCACGAATCGGCTGGTCATATTCAGAGTCGTCGGATGCCGAGACATGCAAACGAGTCTTGCAGACCGGGTATACGCCCGATTCATGGAAGGCGGAGGCGTGGTGTTCGCAAGAAGTCGCATCGGAGCTTGGCAAGGTTCGGGCTCGCACCGTCCCACGAGCGGCAGGTATTTATGTTTTTCATAAGATAGATCCGGTTCTCTCCGATTTCAGTAGTCTCGCTTCGTGGAGCAGTTTTCCGGTATCAGGAATGGTCCCCCCCGCTGCAGGAATCCATGGGCGTCATCCGCGGTGAACGTCGGAAAAGGTTGTCGAGTCTGGCAGGTTCAGTGCATTTCATGGAATCGATTCCTCCCTGGCCGGCTTCCCATGGTGGCAGCTGCCGATTTCCCATCGCCTAGAAATCGAAGTGATGAGGGTTCAACCTCCGAGGTGAATACTTTTTTGTACACCGGCTAATGCATCATTATGTCCACCGGTTTTGCGCTCGGTACGTCGGACCGTCTCCCAGCGAGAACGAGGTCTGGGGGCTCTCATTTTGCCCCACGGAGCTACGATTCTGAGAAACTTCTCCCTCCGATGACTCCGATAACCAAGACAAATAACACGATGCCCATGGAGGCTGCACAGCTATTCCTCGGAGGAGAGCTGTGCTATTCATTTGCGAATCTAAATTGCTTTCCTCGCGAAGTGCGCACTTTATGCGATTGCCAGTTGGCATGACCCACCATATTGGCGCCGGAGGGAGGTCGACGCGCAGGAATCAATCACAGCGAGCTAAATCAGGAATTCTCTCAGATGAAGTCCCGAGCGATAGAGAATTCGAACGCAGGAACAGCCCCATGTCTCAGTCATCGTTCGTGGGTCCTATCCCAACGCTTCCTTCACGTCATATAGGTTGTTTTGATAGGTTAGGTTTTTGAAAGCACAGACCACTCCAGAAACAAGGATCCATATCGAAATTCCACGCCTCCTGTGGCGTGCTCCCAAACCTGTGAGCCCGCGACATCGACAAGGTCTCTAAGGGTCCGAGTAGGTACAAAATATATATTACCTCCTTATTATGCATATTAAATCCCTATAATTAGGTATATGTATACATATTCCAAGCTGGATCCTCCATGGGATCGCAGCGCAGGGTTCAGGTGTCGGGTCTTGGTAAATGATGGCTGACAATGAGAGAACCTACTCGGAAATCGCGGAAACACTTCCCGGCTGGGGCTAGCCTTCTCGCCATACGAATGGCGCAGAAGAACGGCGCCGGCCTATAAGCCGTCTCCGGTCTACAATGATTGGAGTTGCCGATTTCCGCCCGGCTCTGATCGCTTCCCGCTCTGAATGCACAAGAGTTTCTTATCAATTGTACCGCATGAGCCTGGAATGTCATTCACTGGATATCCCCGCTGGGGATACCAATGTTCAATGTTTCCCGTTCGGCGCTCGCGCGTAGCTCCGACTCCTGACCGAGTTGGACATCGAGCTCCGGAAGGGACGAGTTGACTGGGAAAAGTATGACGGCGGCGGAAGAGAGTCGTTCGGAAGAGCAGGTAAACGTTCCCAGGAGCTATCAGTATACTGAAGATCGACCACTTCTAGAGGCGACGTGAGCGACTCCTGCGGAAGTGGTTTCGATGGAAAAATATGGTGCAAACCTCTCAAGGTAGGAGACGTTGATGATCCCCTCATGGCTCGATCGTCCGAAGCGAAATGCAAATCTGTCATCATTCCCTTCTAGGTGATTGTGAAAAACGAAGGTCGTGAGCGACGTTAAAACTATCGACGGACGCAGCTCCGGACCGTGATCCTGTGAGCCTACTCGTTTCTGCTTGTGACACTTTCCCAAAGCAGCCGCCACAAACTTTTCGTGCGCACGTTTCGCCGACTATCTCTCGAAGAGTGAGAAAATCACCGGAGGGTACGGAACAATTTGAAGAGATTTTGCTCCCGTGCGGCGAGACGATAGCGGAGTGAGACGTCGTGATTGTTCATTTCGAGGATTTTCCTCGAGAGCATCGGCAGAACGCTCCCCGAGAGGCCGTGCATGACCATCTCACGATTTAATAATGTGACAATATCACGGTGGGCAATCAAGGCAGGAGTGGAGGCAATATGTTCCGTCTCCGGAAGCAGAAACACCGCGAACGAAATATGTGCTTACTATCGAGCGTTCAGAGACCGACCGCGAACCCTGGCACGTGCACTTTCGGTTCCTTTCGAGGCTGTGCAATCAACTCCAAGGAGAGATGTTGACAGAAACGTGAGCGGTCACACCGTACGCGGAGCACCGTTCGAGTCATGATCGTATGGGTATTCGGAGGAGTTGATCGATTATTATCAATCCAAGAATGACTCATCGGTGTCGTCGAACATATCGCTCCGCCCGGCGGAATTTTCCAGATGTCCCCCATAACGATTCCCGATTTCCCCCGATCCAAGGTCAGCCAGAAGATTCCTCTCTCCGCCTCTGGTTCTCAATGAAAGTGGTCTGAGGCGACGGACAGATGAGGGGAGCCTGTTGCGCTTCCACATTCGGAGGCGATGTTGTCACAAATGGTGTGATTGACATAATTTTGTGTGATGATTTTGCTTTATTTAATGAAGCTCCAAGTGAATTAGAAACGACACTTCAAGAGATATGAATTTATTAATATGTACACATTTAATGAATCGTCAGCTGTGAGCCGACTGCGGGATTCATATGTCTGTCGTCTGGAGCGACGGAGCGCCTAAGGTAGATCACTGGTAGCTCTGATCGAAAATATGAACAGTCGTCTAGATACATGAATCATTAAACCTATTGAAAAATCATAAGGTTGTCCTTGGGCAGCAATTTTTTGAACATCCATTACCTTTTTCAAACAGCCCAGTCTGAATCATTCTCGGAACCGATTCCCCGGCTCCTTTTCGAAAAATCGTATAAAAATCGCCCTAATGAGGACCTAAGAACATTTCTTTCTATTCGACTACCTGGAAGCAGAGCTACATTGAGTTTCTCATGTAGTTTTCCCATTTTCGCAAAGAGTCCCGAAAGTAGAACAAGGTGTACGTAATTGTCCCGTCCTTGGAGTTTGTTAGAACGAGTTTGCTCTGTGTTCACTTATTCACTTAGAATAAGTGAATATTATTCTGTATTCTGTCTTCTTCCTTGAGCGCGTGCTTCGTCTTAGCGCATGCTCCCTGCGTCGGCTACGCCAGAAAGGCTGTTGATATTTTTTGTGTCGTGAGCCTTCCGCGGCTTATGGCGAGAAAGATTGCGACGACTGATTAGGAGAATCCAAAACACTCATTCGGAGATGAACAACAGCGAACTAGAAGTCAATGCTGACGGGGTACTTGCCCGTGAGACAAGCAGTGCAGTGACCGATTTCCTTGACTTTAGAGCGATCGATGTTCTTACGTACGGCGGCTTCTAGACCTTCAACGGAGAGGTGGATGAGGCTCTCCGCCCCAACCTCTTCCGCCAGCTGGTTCGGATTTAGTTTATTGGCAATCAGTTCGTCAGATGTTGGAATGTTGATGCCCATGTAGCACGGATAGTGCAACGGTGGAGAGGCGATTCGTATGTGAACCTGAAAATACATGGTGAGTCCCATGAGTCTGAGAGCGCCCGTTGGAATATAATAGACTCGCAGGCCGTCTTGGCTTCCGAGGTGAGAAAACGAGATTCTGCTCTCACCTCCTTAGCCCCGGCATCCTTCAACAATTTGACAATCTGGCCGATCGTTGTGCCCCGCACAATCGAATCGTCGATGAGAATGATCCGCTTCCCGGCGAAATTGTCCGAGAGGGGTCCAAACTTCTTCGCCACTCCAAGTTTCCGCAATCTCGTCGATGGCTGGATGAAGGTTCGTCCTACATAGCGATTTTTACACAGAACTTCCGCATACGGAATTCCGGTCAATTGAGAGAAACCTGGAGCGAGAATTGTCGATTATTCGGAATCGATTGGATACTGAGGGCGAATTTTTCGATTCCCGCCGACGCGATGCAACCAGTCCCTCATCCATCACGAATCATACGTCATGTGGGTGTGACAATGAAACGCACCTAGAGCTGAAGGAGTCGCTGATTCGGGTACAGTGGATACAATATCGGCGTCGACAAACGCCTCTCTCGCCAGCTGTCGGCCACACTCCATACGCACGTTGTAGACCATCTGGCCTTCAAATATCGAATCTGGTCGAGCGAAGTAGACATACTCGAAAATGCAAAACGCTGGATCCACAGGGAAAGGTCGCGGGACAATGCAGCAGGTCGACGGTCCAGAGCTCGTGAGAGCGACGATCTCACCCGGAAGTACTTCGCGATAGAGCTGAGCACCGACAGATTTAAAAGCGCAGCTCTCAGAGGAAACGACCCAACCCTCTGCGGAGTCTTCCGGTCTAGAAGGATCTGTAAGCGGATTTTCTCTCTTAGAGGAATTCCTTTGAGCTCCAGACAGCTTGTCGGAACAGATAACGTTATCGCAGCTGTTTTCGAGAAACCCGAGGACATGGAATCGAAAACAGGGGCAAGCATCTTCGACAGAACTTTTTATCCATATAATATCCGTGTTGATAATATTGATACACTATAACTCGTATTTAAGACCGATTAGCGCTCAATCCCGCAGGACTGCACCGCAGAAAACGTATGGCGGGCGCAGGCGCAATTGGTGGCTGGTGAGACATCCGAAATCGATGTGCTCCGAACAACTAATATTTCGCGATAGGAGAACGCGCGGCGGGCTGTCTATCGCCTCAGGATCTTGTACAGGCGGTCAACTCGAACACTTGGTACTGGTGGATGGAAAAAGATCCCCGTGCCGAAACAGCTTTCTCGGGCTGAGGGGTCCTGTTAGCGTTGATCCAACGGATCTCGCATTGGGGCCTTAGTATCAGATACCAAGATTCGGGTAGATATTGAGCGTCTCAGGTTTAATAGAGCAGCGACGACGGGGGCGTCATCAATCATAAGAATGACGATAGCCGCGTCCCGAGGAAACTTCGAGGTCAACTTTGGGAAAAAATATCGGGCTGCAAGACTCAGCTGACGACGTGTTCTTCGGACGACCCTCCGCCTAAAATCCGCCACAATCATGCTTAAACGGTCAGAATTTATTTCCGTTTACAATTCTCTCGTGAGGTGTTCACCGTTGTTGATCTGTCATATCGACCTTGGAGGGAAATCTGGAGGACTGAGGAAATAAGCGACAGTCGATTGTCTTAACGGAAGGGATGTCGAAGACGCCGCATCTTCGCCGGTAAACACGGTTCATCGAAAGGGGCATCAATCTTCCCTTCGATGGGAACGTTTTGAGAGAGTCGCTGGCTGGAACGGCAGCCCGTCGTCAGAGTCCTGAGAGAGGAAAGTTTTCCTTCCCTTCACTCCGGCCGAGTCCCTCGCCAACAAATACTTCCGCGGACGACTGTTCACAGATTCTCCGCGGGGAAACACGAGGGATCCGAAAATGTGTGGGCGGTCGCCGCGTCCTCCAGCCTGCCATTGCGCTTCCGTGCTGCCGCATCATCCAATCTCGGTTACGAAGCCGAAAGTTCTTGCTCCCCGTGCCAGTATCCCGGGATGCACAACGGAAGCGAATACTTCGCGAGAATCGTGGGGTATTGAGGCTGCATGGGAGATTCCGCGCCGTGGATGATCTCATCAAAAAGGCTTCGAGATGTGCCGCTCGTTCAAAGGGAGTCCCATGTGCTCCCTGCCGGGCGGCGCCGTCAGGAAAATCTCGACGGCATAAATCTCTACTCGAACGATCCCTTACCGCGAGCCGGGCGAGAAATCCCGGGCAAGTAGTGTCGTGGACACTACTTTTTTTGTGAAAATGTCTCGAATAGGATATAATGGACAATCGCCTCAAACGGACTTATTCCTGGGTCCCGTCCGAGCCTATGGGAACGTCCATATTAAGCAACTCGGATATAGCGGACCCGGATAACGGACTTTTGTGTATAACGGACTGATTCCTTGGCTCCGGTCCTATCCCGTCCCAAGTTATTTGATTCGGCTCCAGACCTTGTGCGGCGAGCCGGAAACTCGGAGACGATCGTCTCTCGAGCTTCTTGCGACATCGCTCGCGCAAGTGTTCGTCGTAGCGGGACCTGCGGGCATGTTTTCAACGATTCTTGCGTTTGATTCGAGGAATCCGCGTGGCGCCCAGGTGCCAACTTTCAGCGTCCTTCGAAAATTTTCGTACACGGTCGCGGATAGTCGAGGAGCACAGACGCGACTCCCTGGTGTGGAAGTTCTCTCGGAAAATCGTGTGGACAAGAGGGCCAAGCAACGCGCAATCATAGAAATCCGTAAAACGGGGTTTCACGGTACTTACAAATCAAATTCATGAATCTAGGGAATGCCTGGTATCAAGTCAATTCAAGATTTCCAAAAAGCTATGGGCATTTCCGTCGGATGGTTCTCGAAGTCCAATACAGTAAAAGCCCGTCATAACGACCCCCATTACAACACATTTCTCGGTATAACGAACAAGGAATTTCTCCTGCTTTGGCTAGCTCGCCATAGGGATAGTGTTGAGCGGCATTCGTTACAGCGAGAACTCGGTACAACGAACCAATTTCGTCGGTCCCTTCGTGTTCGTAGTAACGAGCTTTTACTGTACGGAGTTTTCAGGTTGTGTTTCAATTCACCAAATTCGGCATCTGTTGAACCGACATGTGCGCCGTTCCACGGCAAGGTTTGGGCCAACCTCGTGCCTGAGCGCCCGCCATTCCGTTCCCGAATACTCCGGCTCTTTAGTCTCATGACCTCATGAGTGCAGAATTGGATGAAGCACAATACGATAAGAGCGGTCAAAGAAGCTTCGAGCTGATTTTTTGTTTTTATTAGGGCGAGACGTTCATCGCGCTATTTTGGATGAGAGTTCGCTGCACTCACTGACTCCGATAGAATTCGTATGGAGAACCTTCTCGTAATCCCATGAAACTTCAGAGCCCTCGACAAAAGTCGAGCCCTAGTCATGATCATTTATCTTCGCGATATTCTCGATACGCTTCTCCACTACGGTCAAAATCAATACAATCTGATCTGATCTCCGAACGAGTCGGTAAGCGATCGTCTGAAAATCGACAACAACGACGATCTCCGCATTGACTTCACCGACCGCTCGTCGATCGAATGTATCAGATGTGAGTGATAGTGCCGACATCGAAGAAGAAGGGCAAAAAAGCATCCTGGAGGCTGACCTCTATCCTTAGTCCTCATCCTCCTCCTCGTGGGGACTTCGATTAATGGAGGCACGCATACTCGGAGGATTGCGCACTGATTGACCCGAAAAACACGGCGCTGACTCGAAACATTTCATCTTTGCTCTTTGAATCGTCTATTCATACGAGTTTCCTGAGCCCCTCGGGGGTATGCAGAAATCAGTGCGGGAGACCCAGCTACCCATTGAGGTTTCACTCAAAAATTGAGTAAACAAGGCTCCCGTAAATTTCAAACCTCTCGACACCTTGCCGTACGAGCTGTGTCGCGTATCACCGGAGTTCTAGCGCCGCTAAGTGTTACGAGATTCCGTTGCACGAAGGACGAAGTTCATTGGACCGGTCACTCGAATGATTTTCAAGAAGTTTTCACGTCAAACCTCTGTCGCCAGATTCTCGCTCGCAGCGCCGGCGTTCCTGAGTTTCATACTATGCTTATATTCCGCTCCAGCCCGAAACTCGGGAGCACGGTGCTCGTTTTTCTGCCAGGTATGCTGCACTCTAGTTTCGCGAGATATCAGACTGCCGTCTTGAGCACTGGCCCAGTTTGACATCAGTACTTGTCATTCTGTCCTGAGAGGTTCCCTCAGCGGATCATGTGTTTCCACTAAACGAAGCCCCACAAGGGAAACACGGCTTCCTGGCGGCTCTTTCCCGCTGTTCTGTCCTATCCAGTCCCCTGCCCCGTGAAAGAAACAACCTCGTTTCCAGACAGAAGCTCTCTGCGCCGATGCAGATCCGAAATTATGCTCCGAACACTTATTGCGAAGAGATAGTACATGATACGTATGCTACTGCTACGAGGAGGCAGCAGAGTTCCTATCGGAAGGATCACAATTTCAATTTTAGGCTGCTTGCGCTCAAAACAGGAAAAAAAGGGGTACTGACCTCGAGGCCCGTTAGGCGGTAGAACGATGCCTATCGACAACGGTCTATTCCCGAAAGGGTCTCTGACCGCGTAGATGGTGTCATCGTGCATCATGACGAGAGAATAGGCTGTCGGAGTCAAAGACATGAGGTTCCGTATTCTCGCAGGCCAGTCGGCCCCGTCTCTTTCTGATGCGTCCGGTGGAGGTTGTGAGAGGATCTGCATGATCAGCTCGGAATCCGACCCTGTCGTGAGTCCAATTCCTGCATTGAGAATCTGTAATTGAATGATGCTTCGCTTATTCGGTGTCTCCCGTCGCCATTCGTCTCGCGACCTTGATGGAAGGAGCAATCGTCTACGGAAGGATAAGACATGGTATAACTCGCAGGATTGCTAAATTATCCGTTTTTTCTTCCATTCTTCGGTCATCCCGTCCATTCCTCCGGTCGGTCACAATGATTTTCGCTCTTGTTCCCTTCCCTCCAACTCTCCCATCCTTCGAGAGTTTTTAGAGTTCCTCGGCGGTTCTGAACTCATTCATCCCCGCGAAAAGTCGTCGCTTGAAATGAACCTCGGGCGATTCACGAGAGAGAACAAGGTAGATGCGACGATGTTCTGTATTACCCGGAGACGACGATGGATGGTGGAGACTGTGGTCATAAAGCTCGGGATCTCCATACTCGCACCAGGCTTCCGTTCGCTTTGTGTGTATCTGTCTCCGACGAGTCAGAATCGTCTCGGCCGCAGTGTCCCTGCGGTGCCCCCCCCCCATCGTAAGCAATCACCAAACCTCATTTCATCTCTTTCCGTTATAGTCTCTTTCTGCCGCTCCTGTTCCAATATCCTCATCCCCCAGGGCTTCTGCCTCAGCTCTAAGAGGGAGAATTCTGTCCTCCTCCGTTCATTATCACAATCGAAGATCTGGGTCAGGTTTTCTGGGAGCATTTGGGATCCCATCCGGTTTACGTTCACGTAAAAACCATTCGGGAGTTTCCCTTAGCGTACTTGCCCCTTGGACAATACCACTCGTTTGGAAGACGCCCTATATCAAAAGCTCTACTTTCAAGAGTTCCGGACCTTGACCAGCGGCGCGGCAGTCGGGGAATCGGATACGCACTGCGCGTCTGAGGGAAAACCTCAGACGAGCAATTCCCAAAGTCGATCCACGAAAATTAATCATCGGTAGGCCTGTCGGAGATCAGTCAAGTACATGGAATGATCGGAGCGAGAGACCTCAGGATTTTCCGGACGAGGGGGTGGATCGTTTGGCTTTGCCTCTGCAGCGGAAAACCGATTCCGAGGGTAAAACTTGCCATCTGCTCCAGCCCTCCATGCCCCCTCCGCTCCGGGCTTATTCGCTTGTCGTCGGAAGAGCAGAATATTAAGTAGGCTGAAGATGCAGTTCAGCACGCGTTTCGACCTTGAGCGCCCGAAATAATCCGAAACTCAAAGCCCGGGCGTATCTGAACCGAATCAATCTGAGAGATACTGATCCCTGGAATCCTCAGACGCCGTGGCATTTCGATGCGTTCGGAATGAGAACCCGTCGTACCGCGGAGGACCTCATGAGCCATCGCGACGGAGAAAATATCGGGAGAGCTTCGGGAGCAGCAAGCTCTTCCTAAATCCTCAAGCACGACTATGATAGACGGGCTATAGATGATACTCAGTGATCGCAATTTCGACTCCAACCGACGGGAAATCGGTATGCTTGCATTGACAGACAAAACGGAAGAAGATTCGAGAGCTCTACGAAACCGCGGCTCTCGCGAGAAGATCCCGCCCACGCAGCTCATTTCCCCCATTGGGACAAAATTATTATACAAGAACTCGTCAGAGGTAATAACCACTCATTAGGCAGCCGAGACCTAAGACTTTCGACTGACGCGCGGGTCGCTGGTGACTCGACCAGAGAGCGGCTGAACTGGCACCGGCCAGAGACTCTCTGAACACCGAGTTTCGACCGCGAAGTCTGCATTCTAGAGATTCTCACTCTTTATCAGAGTTACTCAGGTTCGTCATAGAGTAAGATCAGATTTTCGCTTCTGGCGCATCCGTCAGCCCTTCGATCCATTTGAGTCCTACCATCGAGCAATGATGACTTCTCTGGAAGGCGCTCATTCCAGGAGTCGATTCGCAAGCACGCTTACGTATCTCCATCTGGGGCCATATTGCGAACCGAAATACCCTCGAGGACGTGTAATGGGGAACAAGACGATGATGACTTCGGGGGACTTCTCCCAGATGCTCAATAATAATTCATTGACGAATGCTAGACTCACTCTTTTGCGCAGCTTCAAAGCATTGACGAGCTCACCATTGTGAGCGATGGCCAAGAGCCCGTGGTTTGTGTGAACTACGAACGGTTGAGCGTTTTCGTGCTCCGAGCCTCCGACGGTGGAGTATCTGTCAAGGATCACGGTGCGACTTTAGAGGAATCTCACAAATATTGACCTCGGACCATTCTTCTTTAGAGATGCTCCCACGTGCTCACCTTGTGTGACCCACCCCGAGGTTACCATGGAGTTTTACCATGGACGGCTCATTGAAAACATTACTGACGAGTCCCATGCCTCGATGGACAGCAAACGTCTTGACGTTCCCGCCTTTACTGGTGACCATGCCTGCGCTCTCTTGACCTCTGTAAGGAGAATGAACTTTATCTGGTCGATCGTGAGAGATCAAAACAACTTTTGTGAACAAGGATGAACACATTATTATTGATACTCGATCAGGCAGGGACTCTAAATTGAATGGATCTCAATATTCCTCGGGAACTCTGGGGCTTATGTGTTTGTGGACGGTTTCGATTTCCTTCAAATCCACGTGAGATCATCTCGAAGCTAGACCGATGTTTTCCCTTCAGACAGATGACACAACGGCCAGGCGTGAGCATTAGAATCTACGTCACAACAAAGAGTCACGATGAGGCAGATGAGCTCTCCCCGGCATTAGATGCAGGTAGGAAGGTCGAGCTGGTCACTTGGAACCAGCGCGGGCGTCACAAAGCTCAGCTCTTCCATGCTCGCTTCCTGTGGTTTTCTCTCCGTCGCCAGTCGAGGGACCTTTCCGTACCGAACGAAATTCCGCGCTCGATTGAGATCCTAATATTTCCAACTATCTGTCCTCGTAGACACGAACAACACAGTCTGTTTCAGATAAAATCTCAGCCGGTGGTGACCAGTCTGCTGGCGATACGCAATGTTGTCTTGTCTTATACTCGAGTATATCTGTGTCGCGCGTTCGCTTCTATCAGCAGCTGCTTTTCGGGAAAAGAAGAAGGAAGAACCACGGATGCCTCGCGGAGCCGGTACGGACAGGAACTTCCAACGAACATAGAAATTCGAAATGATGCAAGCGATCTCCAGTTCCGGAAAGGCTCACGGAATCCCGGGCGATATTAATCGCCAGATTGCTCCCGACGGAGCTCGGTGGGCCGATCTCGGTATGTCTCGATTTTGTGCGATTGACGTCTCCAAGAGGAGAGCTCTTCAATATGAGATGCTTCGTCATCTCTCGAGCGCCGAATGACTTTCTGCATTTCTTTCCGTCGGGGAACGTGACACGAAATATTCTCGAGAGGGTTGAGAAAAAACACTCTTCGTTGAGTTGTCCGGAAATATCGACTCGCGACTCACGAGTGATTCGTCGCTTTAGGAGTGAGGTCGCTAATTGTTGTTACTCTCTAAGCGCATTGTTGCAGCGAGTACGAGACAGTGTTCCATTGGAAGTTCTTAACCGAGCTATTCCCCGAAGATAGCGATAGCCCTCCGGTCTCAGGTAAGATGAAAGCCGTCGAGAGTGTTTTAGAGAGAGTCGATTAGATAATAAAGTCGCGCTCCGGTATCTCTCAGCTCCGCATCTCAAGGTCGATTGATGCAATAATCCGAGCGCTTTGCACAAAGAAATCTCGCACGGATTTCTTACGGACCCGAATAGAACGAGGCGTGAGCAGTTCCACGATGGGATGATCTGGCGTAAGTATTCGCGGCACGAGGAAGGCAATTACTTCGCGAGAACAATGCCATCCGCTACTTTAAATGGTCGATGTGTCAATGAGGTGAAGGTTCGCCGAGCAGAGGAGAGTTTCCCCTTGTTGGACGAAGGGCTTCCCCGAAACGCCGGAGGGTCAAAGTTTATCGCACGTTAAAACGCTTGTCAGTTCGGTGTGGTCGATGTCGCGGACGGCCTGAGCGCTTTCCTAAGTGTCACTTCCTTACGATGTCTGGCGAACCACCGGGAGTGTTGTCGGAAGCAACTTTTCTCCCTCCGTCGGGATGACATTGTCAGCATTCGGTAAACAACTCCTTCACCGGTCCCGACCCGAATCCACAGGACCTCCGTTGTATAGGAGATTCCATATGAATAACATAAATGAGTATACGTCGGAAGGCCACCTCCTGGAGAAGCTCGCAGAAGACTTTATCCGTTCCTAGGCGGTGCCGTCTATTCTCTCCCCAGTATTCTCCGATGGATACGCATGGGGAGATTCACCGAAGATTCAAATTAGTGAATGTACCAGTGAGCCGAGGGTTGGGACTAGAGAAGAGGATTTCAACCCACCTGTGTTGTAGTGCCACCAGCCCGAGGCAGATCGTGTGAGCCACATCCATCGGCGACGGCCATTCCCCGCCTCCGATCGCGGCGAACACTCCACAGTAATGTCTCAACTCATCGTCGTCCTCAAAATCGCGCACCGAATGCGTGTCTGGAGAACTCATCTGGAAAGTTATTTCTCATAGCCTCACGGTCTCCGAGCATTCCGTTTTCCCGTGGGACACACGCCCGACGCTCGTCAGGCCCTTCGCTCGTTGGGAATTTCGGCGTTGACTTCCACATGGAAGGGCATTGCGCCAGGAAACCCCAATAAAGAACAAACGTTCGAATACTGACGCGAATACGGCGGTAAATCCGAGGCCGAGAAAATTTCTGCCCGAGCGGCGCGCTGCTTCGCCGAAATTGTTTGAGCTCACCTTCCGAATGGGCAGAGTGAAGAAGGAGATCAAAAAATAATGACTATGGCGCAGTCCACAAAAGAGACGAGATGCTTGTGGAGGATAAGATCGAACGGCGAGGGAAGATGTCACAGGCTGACTTGAGAGACTTGACTTCTACGGCAAGACATTGATAACAAGCAGCAAAATGGAAACGAGCGGCCCGCTGAGATCTTTGTCTTATCGGTGCTCATCTGTACAGCGCCCTCTAGCCGAAGGTTAAACTCGTAACCTTCGCCCTCAATCACTGCGGCAGGAGCCAAGCAGGCGACGGCGGCTACGCTGACGAAACTCCGATAACCAACGTTATCGGCTCCTCCACGTTCGAGCTACGTAGGAGCGCGCTCGCGCATGCTTCGGTCGACGCCGTCCATCCTCTTTCGTGGACGATTCTCTCATCCCGCCCATGCTCTCCGATCGATTGAGAACTTGCCCACACCCCTCCCCGTTAAGCATCTCACGGAGTTTCGACTTGTCAACAAAGGATATTCGGGCAACCGAGACAAGGGGGATTTCCCCATTAGCGGAGACCTCCCACGGATGTGAACCAGAGTCTTCGAGGATTGGATAGGGTCGCGTCCTATGGGATATTCTTGAATCGAGTACGTCACAAATCTTCTCGCTCAAAAGCTACCCTCCCTCGAATGACGAGGAATCATGCGGCGCTCCGTTTGTTGACGTCGTCATTGGCTCATCCCATCGACCTGAGCTGCTCTGCGCGAGCTGATCTGGTCGGGTGCGGTTTGTATGCTATTTAGAAACGCGAAACTCTAATGTCATGGATCGTTCCAAAGCGGAGCTCTCGATTGGGACTTCCTGATCGTCTTTCCGCAAATCTTTGACACCGTCCTCTCTAATAATGGCTGTGGGAAGAAAACAGAACGAAATCTCAGTCGACGTGCAGATCGTTTCAAGCGATAAGAGGTTTGGAGCACTCCACTACCGCAAAATGCTGCACAACCGATTGGGCGAATGATTGAGGAACTCGATCGCATATGTTTCCCATTCGAAAGCTCGGAATGGATATGCTGCATACGGACGTTGGGTCCGAGCTCCCGCCACGTTGGCATGGTAGACCGTGCGTCATCGACTCACGCTTGGCGGATTTGTCGAGTTCGGGAAACTGCTCTATACCGTCAGTCTTGCGAGAACATGTTGAGTTCTATAACTGATCACTCTCCAGGCACAACTCTCTTTTGGGCGGTTGAGAACATGTGCTGCATACAGACGTTTTCTCAAACCCGCAAGTGCGCTCATGCTATGTTTTCGCATGTCGGGACGTCGACCCACCCGTCTTGCACTCCGTCTCCAGTTCGGTCCCGAGGCTCCATGTACCTGTCTGAGTGAGTCGGAATCACATCCTCGAGTGCAGGCATATATGTATATAGGAGCGAAAACACTCGACTAGAATCTGTCAACAAACTTGTCCAACATTCAATAGGATGAATATTATTACCCACCTACGTGCCGTAATTAAGGGAACAGAATAAACATCTGAGCATACTCGCGAATCCTCGAGAGCTCCGGTCAGAAGTCCGCCTTGCTATCCATTCGGATTATACGGAACTCCCCTTCTAGCTCAGGCATGCCAGTCACCGAAGGCATCAGAGATCAGGAATGCCACCGATGGCATTATGACCACTCGCAGTGTCGATCCATGCGCGGGATTATTCGGCTTGCCTACGAACAATCATGTTCGCGCGGGCCGCGAGTCAATAGCAGGTTTAGTTTAGAGTGCCAGGCCTTAATCCTTATCACCGGCGTCGCACAGACAGAATCTTGGACATGGAGGCAATCAAGCTCCACCTGGGCCAAACGGATTTGGCGGGTTCTATGGCGCTGCAACACGAGTGTAAATCCGTGATCGATACCTTTTCAACCGTGATATCTACGAGTGGGAGATTTCTCCCTTTGAAGGACTGGGTGACTCCAGGCCCCGTTAGGTCCATAAGGAAAAGAGACAAGCTATTCAAGAAAATGAGAAGTGAGAGAACCCTTTCTTCAAAGATCGAAAAACATTCGTACAGGAAAGTCCTAGCTCGCCTCTTACGGGAGGCTGAGGACGACTACTACAGGAAGGAGAGCCGAAGGTGATGCGAGGAAGGTTTGAAGAACCATCAACTCTCTATTCCCCGGCCAGAAAACGGGTGACCCGATGAGACCAGATCTGCTGGGTCCTTGAGTGGACAATATGTGGATTCTCGTGCGTCGCTGTCTTCTGTGATCTGACGCGCGCATTTGATACTGTCAATAGGCCCCGACTGATTGACTTGAACTTGAAAGTCTCGGAATGAAGGGTGGCGCCCTCGCGATCATCAGGTCATACCTGACGCTGCGAGAACAGATCTTCATATCAGGGGAGGAAACAATTCTGCCTGTGCCAATGGCGTATGGAGTTCCGCAGGGCAGTCTTCTCGGCCCTCTGTTCTTCATATGTTACATCAACGACCTCTTCAAGCACGAAGCCTGTACTAATATATTGAGAACCGTTGCTTTCGCCGACGACACGGTATTGTTGATTGAGGGTGTGGACTGTCTTCCAACATTGGAGGCGGCGAGCAGATGCATCTCCGGAGACAACGAGTGGTTGGCTTGCAACAGGCTGATTCTTAACGCGAGGAAGACTAAAATCATGCTCTCCAATCGGAGATCACCTCCGCTCTTTTGGGAACAGATGAAGTGGTGGTTCATGGCTCGCTTTGCCGGGCGACTCCCTGTGACCGTCCCCGTCTGCAGAGGGGTAGGGGGGAGTTACAAGTATCTGGGACTCATCGTTCAGGAAAACGGCAAATTCAACGAACATATCGGATTGATCTCCTCGAGACTGAGGTCGAGTACGGCTGTACTGAAAAGACTGCGCGGAGTGAGCTCTGTCTCCCTGAGGAGACAAGAACCTACGGGGGATGTTCGAAGAGTACGCTGGACCGATTCTTCAGGCTTCAGAAGAGGGCACCGAGAAGCATCTTCGCCGCACCGAGAACGGCTCACACGGCCCCCTTAAACAAAAAAGGAGAGGTCCCCAGTCACCTGCGGTCTCTCCACGCTAGTTCGGGTGTTGTCTCCAGACCACGGCATATCTATAATACAAGGTTCCGGTCCGATGGTAATCTATCTATACCTAGAGTGCATAGCGAGTTAGGTAAACGCACCGCGACTGTGAATTTCGTGAAACTCTTTAATACTCTGCCTCCCGAAGTAGAAGCAATCTTCGCCAATATTAATCACAGAAACAGACGGAAATCCTTCACTCTGAGTATATTCTCAACTGTGAGACCAGTTTCGAGGTATTATTCAAGTAGGTCCTGAACTGTTGGCATCCTCGATGCGGCTGCGACACAGACCATAGGTCTAATGCGGGCATCATCCTGAGTTTTTTCTCCAGCATAATGAATGCTCTTCAGTTTTAAAAAAAAGTTTTATGCTCCGCAGCCACGATGCGGCGATGAAAACCATAGCTTCAACCAGTGCTGTGCGCCGTTTCCAGGACGTGGTGTGCGGCGCCCTAGACGTAATGCTTAAGCGCCATGGCGCGCCGGCGCGCTTGAGTCTGTGGGACTCGCAATGCTCGGCGCGGCGCACAGCTCTGGTTTCAACAGGCTCATCCTGAGCAAGTACGGGGAAATCGATCGTCTTCAAACGCAATCTGAAGCCTCGAAAATCCAACGCTCGAGTGCACGTGGCCCACAACTCGATCATGCATCCCCCATTCCCCGGTGTCTGAACGCCTAAGCGGGGTATGTGGACGAACGAATTCCCAGTCTCAGAAAGAAAAAGTTTCAGCGACGAGTGGATCCCTGGTCCCGACCTTGCTCCTCCAGAACATTGGGCACAGTAGAAGGCAATGGCCTCAGCAACAGTGCTCTGATCAAACGAGTCCGCAGTGGAACAGTGTCGATCCCGTAGAGGGATGCGCAAGCGGTCGGATGGCGATTTCGGGGATTTTTCTCGACCTTGGAAACGTACTCAAAATCCAGGTCTTAGACCGTAGGTAGGCACTGCATTGTCGGCAGAATGTCGACGCAGTTTCTCATGCTGCTGCCGAACGGATAATCCTTCGGAATGCTTCGTCTGGAGATTTACTGATTCCGTCGGGAGTCTGGGCTAAACAGGGACTGATTCCACCTCTCGCGCCGACACGGGTCGTTTCCCGCTCTGGTCGCTCCCCTCGAGCTCCGCCCTGAAGGATATGAAGGGAAAAATTCATGCTCGCGGCGCGGCGCAGGTGCTCCTCACTCGCGGTCGCGGGAGCCTACCGAAGTCAGTGGTCGATCGAAAATCGAGATCGATCTTTACGTAGAGGCCTCGCGCGAGATTTTCCATAGCAAACAAGGGAACCGTATAGATTCTACCGTAGCTCCTGAAGCGTTCGCCGATGGGTGTGTGAATCGCCATGTGAACTTGAATCGAGGTCTAGGTGTCGGGAAGCCTGAAATATTTCTATTTTTTCTGATTGCGGCCAAGACCGGCAGAATGCGTAACAGGAGCCTTCCGTCAACCTGGATCAATTGGAGTCCCCCTTCGGTTGAATCTCCTCGAAAGACCGGGAAGGGCTAGGGGTCACGATTCGCGAGAGGGACAATGATTTCGGTTCTCGAACTACCTGGAAGAAGCAGCTATTGTTTATTCAACTCCTGCAACTCATTTTAATCGAGTGTAAGTAAGATCCTCCTTCATTCGCGTTTCCAGGGGCCGGTACCTCTAGGAAGGATCGAAAATCTGAAGCGCGAAGATACTACAAGGCAATATGCGAAAGAGAAACTCCGCGGGTTATTGATTATTATTGGCATATATTCTCTGAGAAGTTTATGCTCTGCGGGAAAGACTCTACTAGGGAGATAATCTCACCGCGCTCGCATGCGGAATCACGACTCCAAGTGTTCGGGTGAATCCCCTATCATCATTCACTCAAGCTTAATCATCGTTCGCCCTCTGCAAGTGAGAGACATTCCCTTTATTAAACCCTTCTCAGTCGAAGGAGCAAGGGACAGGGAGCCTCGGAGTGGTTTGGCATCTGTTCCGGTGGA